TTTTCCCAGAGACACAGCGTTATATTTTCTGAGATAAATTCTTCTGTGTTGTGTTATTACTTTTTCCAAATGGATGCTTCAACCAATGTGATCTTCTTAAAAAACTTATAAGAAGAACTTATAAAAGTGAGATCGTTTTGTGATCAGTTTACCTTCCTTAGACTAATAACTTGGAAATTGTCTCACTTCTTCTATATAATTTTCAAACACATATATATTAGGTTTTCCAAAATTAACTATGGAATGAAAAAATATAGATATAGCACAGTTATTTAAGTCACTCAAATTTCTAGAAATAAAATATGGAGTCCTGATTTTCCAACATTTGTTATGTCCTCTTTCAGATTTAACAAACATTATGCCTTCTATATGCCAGGTACATCTGCATAGTTATCACACTTAATGTTTAAAACAATCTCATAAGCTGGAGGAATATGTTATAAGCATAAGGAATAGCAGGTATGTGATTATAATGTAGCATGACACATTGGACAGCATCAGAGTTCTTTTAATACTAACCTGTGGGAAGATAGTTTGGAGGTTAGAGGACAAGGAGGCTAGAATAATGGGTCAGAGAAGAGCAGCACTGAATGACAAAGAAGTGCAAAGGAGTGTAGACTTTATTCTTTGGGTTGGTGATCTTTGGATGGGTTTTAGTGCTTTTGAGAGTCTTCTGAAATTACATGCAAAAGTGTCTGTGTGTTTTAGTTTACACGTGTACTTGTACCTCCACATATACACTTCCTGGGGAAAGGGTCCATTGTTTTCATCAGATTTTCTAATTCCACAAAGAATCACTGAAGTAGATATGATGAAGCCGTTTAGAGATTTTAATTACATGATGATGATGAGATAGGAATTGTTTGTTTGCTTTTAAGAAAAATCATTTTGGCAGCAAGACCAAAAGTTGGTAGAGGGGTTAAAAGATTATTATAGGACTTCACCTCTCAGTGTATGCAAAAATTAATTCAAAATGAATCAAAAACCTGATTCAAAATGGATCAAAGACCTAATAAAGGTAAGATCTAAAACTATAAAACTCTTAGAAGAAAACATAAAGGTAAATCCATAGAGATTTACCATAGAGATGTTGGATTTGACAATGATTTCTTAGATATGAATCTAAAAGCACAAGGAGCAAAAGGAAAAAACCAGATAAATTGACTTCATAAAAATGTAAAACTTTTGTGCATCAAAGGACACCATCAGGAAAGTGAAGAGACAACCCAGAATAAACATTTGCAAATCATACATATGGTAAGCGTCTAATATCAGGAATATATAAAGAACTCTTAATAAACTCAACCTTAAAAAGACAAATAACCCAACTGAAAAATGGACAAAGGATTTGAATAGATGTTTCCTCAAAAAAGATACACCAGTGGCTAACCAGCACATGCAAAGATGCCCAACATCATTAGCTATCAGAGAAATGCAAATCAAAACCACGAGGTGATACCACTTCATACCCATTAGGATGGATGTAATTAAAAAGTCAAGTGTTGGTGAGCCTGTGGAGAAACTGGAGCCCTCATACACTGCTGATGGAAATGTGAATATGCTGCAGCTGCTTTGGAAACCTGTGTGGCATTTCTTCAAAAGATTAGACAGAGAATTATCGTAGGATCTAGCAGTTCAACTCCTAGGTGTATACCCAAGAGAACTGAAAAGAAGTTCACACAAAAACTTTTACACAAATGTTCATAGCAGCAGTATTCATAATAGCCAAAAAACAGAAACAACCTAGATGTCTATAAAATGATGAATGGAAAAAAAAATTATTTGTCTGATATGACATTTTAAATAAATTTTTATACTCTAAGTTAAAAAAAAAAAAAAAAAAGATGAATGGATGGGGCCCGCCCCATAGCTGAGTGGTTAAGTTCTCGCGCTCTGCTTCGGCAGCCCAAGGTTTTGCCGGTTCGGATCCTGGGTGTGGAATGGCATCACTCATAAAGCCATGCTGAGGCAGCATCCCACATGCCACAACTAGAAGGACCCACAACTAAAAATATATGTACCGGGGAGCTTTGGGAGGAAAAGGAAAAATGAAATCTTTAAAAAAAAAATGATGAATGGATTAATAAAATGTGATATATCCATACAATGGAATATTATTCAGCAATATAAAGGAATGAAGTACTGGTATATGCTTCAACATGGATGAACTTTGAAAACTTTATGCTAAGTGAAAGAAACCAGTCACAAAAGGCCAGATATTGTATGATTATGTTTATAAGAAATGTCCAGAATAGGCAATTTATAGAGATATAAGTAGAGGCTGCCTAGGGTTGGGAGGGCTGGGGGTCCTGGGGGATGATGACTAAAGGGTGTAGGGCTTATTTTCAGGTTAAAAATGTTCTAAACTGGGGCCAGCCCAGTGGCGCAGCGGTTAAGTTTGCGCGTTCCACTTCAACAGCCCAGGATTTGCCAGTTCAGATCCCGGGTGCAGACGTATGCGCTGCTTATCAAGCCGTGCTGTGGCAGGCATCCCACATACAAAGTAGAGGAAGATGGATGCAGATGTTAGCTCAGGGCTAATCTTCCTCAAAAAAAAAGGGGGGGGGGCTGGCCTGGTGGCGCAGGCCACCACGTTCTGCACATTCCACTTCAGTGGCCCGGGGTTTGCCGGTTTGGATCCCAGGTGTGGACATGGCACTGCTTGGCAAGCCATGCTGTGGTAGGCATCCCACATATAAAGTAGAGGAAGGTGGGCACAGTTGTTAGCTCAGGGCCAGTCTTCCTCAGCAAAAGGAGGAGGATTGGTGGCAGATGTTAGCTCAGGGCTAATCTTCTTAAAAAAAATATTCTAACTTTAGACTGTGGTGATGATGGCATGATTCTGTGAATATGTTAAAAACCACTGAATTCTGTATTTTAAATGGTGAATTTTTTTTTCTAAGTTGATTTTATCTTAATAAATCTATTTTAAAAATAAAAGGTTATAATATTCCAGTGAGAGGAAGCTCAGGTACTGAAATAAGTTAACGACAATTGAAATGGAGAAATGATGATGGATTTGAGGATCAATAATGAGAAAGAACAGTTAGGGCTTTGTAATTGGTTTTGACAACAGTCAGATAGGAGGATGCATATGTGGGGACTCCCCGGTTTCTGCCTTGGGAGACTAAATACAGAGTGGTGCCTTTCACCACAATGGGACAGGAATATGGGAGGGAAAGAATACTTTAGGAAAAAGATGATGTGTTTGTTTTTTAGCCTGCTGAGTTTCAGGTGCCTGCAGGGAAGCCAGGTACAGTAAACAATTTAAAATGTAAGTCTGAGGCCTGGAGACGTAATTTGAGAATCATCAATGAATTGCTTAAAATTGAGGCCTTGTATATACAAAACCACACAAGGAGAGAGTGGTCTTTTAAAAAGAAAAACCATGTAATAATTTTACAGAAGAGTTGCTGGCAAAGGAGACTGAGAAGCTGCAAAGAGGTGAGAGGAAAATCAAAGAAGAGGTATTTGGGAACCCATGGGGGAAGAGGTTCAAGAAAGAAGGAATGAGTTATAAAACAAGTCCTGGGGGTGTAATGTCCAGCAAAGTGACTATCGGTAATAATACTGTATTATATATTTGGAAGTTGTTAAGAGAGTTTGATCTTCAAAGTTCTCATCACAAGGAAAAAAAGAAGGAATGGTTAGCTTTCTTAAACGCTGTCCACTTCACACAATATGAACACTGAATATGAGCACACAGTATGAGCACAATATTCGGAGGTCACTGTAACCTTAACGAGCAGTTTCAGTGGAGTGTTGAGGGTAGAATTCATAAGGGGTTTAAAGGAGAGTTTCTTTAAAGATAGGGTAGAGTTAGCTTTATAACAGACAAACTTGTTTTCTGTAATTCTTTTCTGCCTTAATGCTAGAAGTTTTTTCTTTAATCCAAGCATTTCCAAAACATGGTGTTTCACTTTTTTAAAAGTGCGTGTGCTTTAATCTAGGTTGTTTTTTCTTTTTATAACCAAAAATAGCAATGCGAACTATAGCATCTGTATTATACACATTAAAATTCTCAAATTATGTAAATCTTGAATTCCACACACAAAAAGAATTTATATCAAATTTTATTTATAAAGTTAGGAAAATTTCTTTCATCAGAGCCTTAACTCTTATATTTCCCAAGTACTTTTAATGAGAAATAGCCATTTAAAAAGGTGACTGTATCTTACTCTATGAAGATTTCATGTCATCTAGCTAACCAGCTACACTGTGTTCTATGGTCGTTTGAGGGTAGCATGACTTAACACAGCCATATGGATCAAAGTTAGGGTCATTATATCCTTATCCCATATCTGTATTTTAGAGCTCACCTTTGATAACTCTATCTACGTTTGCCCTAAAAATTCCTTTTCAAGGGAGTCAGCTACTCTCTTCTCTCCTGCTCATCTGCATCTCCTAGGAAGTGAGAAGTTTCAGGGATCCTTGAAATTCTAGTGTGTTCTACGGCAGTGGAGTTCAGACTTTTTTGATCCTCTCCATACATATGTCTATGTGTCTGTCTGTCAGAAGCAAAAGTTTTCAGAAGTGATTCTGTGAGATGCACTGGATATTTCCTATTTCTTTTTTTCCCTTTAATTCTGATTATGACCCACCATTAGGCCATAATCATGATTCAGTAATGGAGATTTAAAGTTCCCACGTCTCACAGAGAACCTCCAAGGATGGCTGTATATTTGCTAAGCCCCAGTCTGTTCACCATGACTCCATTTTAGGAGTTTGGGGTATGATCTGACTGCCTGGTAACATCAGAAGGCAGCAGGAGTTACCCAACTTCCAGGTGCTAAAACTGTTGCCTTCATGCTGTGGAGAAAAAGCAAAGTAATTCCAGGTTTACTAATATCTACCATGAATTGAATGCTTACTATGTGTCAGGCAATACGATTGGCATAAATAATATCTAATCTTAAAACAATTTTGAAAATTAGAATTAACATCACAGTTTTGTTGGGAAAGTAGGGAGAATGAGGAAAACAAAGCTTAGAGACATTAAGTAACTTGTCCAAGATTGTCTAATGTAGGTAGCTTTACAGCCCCATTTTTTTCCCACTACCATATGCTTTCTGAAAAGGGCATTCCATTGTGAAGGATATTCTTTAGTATTCTTCTTTGTTGTGGGTAAAGAAGTTTGAGAGACCTGGGAGGAAACAAAAAACGAAAATTAGATTTTGATAATCTAGCCTGTAAGCATTCTCGCTGCTTAAATAGAAAATTCAGGCAATGTCAACGTAATCAGGTCAGTACTCTCTCAATACAGGATAGTTAAGATTTGCTTCCATAATTTTGGCAGTCCCAGTCCATAATTTTGGCAAAAGTCATCTCTGAGATTTGCACAATCTTCCAGAGTCTATAGAAAATGTTTAAGACTATGCTCCAATTTGTGCTTTTTACTGGTGTTTCTATTAGCCCAGGGTAGTAGGATAAATCCTTGTTAATTATATCCCATATGGAAGTGTGGCTAAGAAATATCATTCTTGGTAATGAGCTTAGCCACTTTGTAAGAAACCTTGGCCTTTCAGAGGACTGGTGGAAGAAGCAAAAACATAAGCCATTCTTCTCTGTAATGTTTAGTTATAGGGCCAACAGCTTACACAGTTGGAGGCAGGTTTTGAAAATTCCATTTCCATCCTTCTCTCCTTGTTTTTACTCTCACACTCAAAAGACATTTTTTTCCATCCCCCTACAGAGAGAAAAGTACATGACAAAGGGGTTGAAGGTGTAGAGTGTGGCTTCCGAGTTAAAATCTAGACCTTCACTGTCTGAGGTGGTAGCCACTAGACACATGTACTGTCAGTCACTTGCAATGTGGCAAATCAGAATTGACCTGTGCTGTAAGTGTAAAATATTTTGTTGTTTACTTTTAATATTGATTACATGTCGAGATGGTAATATTTCAGACTCATTGGGTTAAATGAAATGTTATTAAAATTAAATTTTAAATTTAATTTAATTATTTCCCCTATTTGTTTTGACTTTTTAAATGGGGCTCCATGAACATTTTGAATTACATATGTGGCTTGCATTTGTGGCTTGCATTGTATTTCTTTTGGACAGCATTGATTCTGGACCAGTATTGCAGCCACTGCACCCAACCTAGCTTTGAAATATGGTCCATTATCTTAATTTCAGGACCTTCCCCCACACAGAGGGCTAAATTTTGCCCAATCTTTTCTTCTGATCCTGTCCACCTCCTTATGCCTGCTTGAAGCAGTGTTGGTGATTTACTGGACAGGTAGGGCATATAAAAAAAAATCAGCCAAGTTTGCCCAATTGGAGGTGATGACAGATGATCTTGTTGGATGGGACGAGGACACCAGGCTGGTATAGCCCAGAGGCAATGGATTTACTGAGGGTATTCCATGAAACAAGTTTAAGGAAGTCCAGAAAATTTCAGATTTTTTGCTTTATGTCTACTTCAGTGGTTTTGTTTTTGATTAAGGATCAAATTTTTCCAAGATACTTGTGCTCCTTGTTTTCAGAGCTCCTGTTTTGCCTAGTCGCAGTCTGTGTGGTTTGCCTTCAGAGATCACCAAATCCTTACTGAGTCCAGCCCTAGGGGGTGGGATGGCAGGCTATTGTTACCAAACCAGGTTTGTGTTTTGCAGGCTGCCCAGAAAGCCAAACACCAAGATGACAAGATTGCAGCAGAGAGAGGGTTTAATCACAAGGCAGCCACGTGAGGAAGTGAGAGCATGAGCCTCCAATTCGCTTCCCCGAAAACAGGGACTCAGGGATTTTTATGGGATAGGGGACAAGGTGGTCTGAAATGTGGAGAGAGGTGATTAGAGGTGAAGAGAGGTGAGGTTTGATGATCCGCGCAAGCGTAGTCAGGCTTCATGCCCCTTCACAGGACCCATGTTCACAAGATGGTGGTGTTAGCATGATCTGAGGGTGGAGTTTTTAGCCTCTTGACATCAAAGGTCGCCTATCAGACATCTCTGCGGGTCCAGTTGATGAATTGGTGGTCTCAATGGGCCTGAAGTGGACAGGAGTTCTAATTCCTGAAAAATAGCTCACACACCCATTACCATGGTGACCCAGGCTCCAGGGAGATATTATCTGTAGGAACCTAGTGGGGGTCAGATAGCATACTGCCTAAAGAGCACAGTTAACAATGGGTGGCTTAAACAGCTAAAAGCTATAATCAGTAATTGCAAAAAGGAAAAAACTTTAGTACCTAGATACTTAATCATCAATGGCTGTTTGCAGGTCTCACTATGAATCCCTGAGCCTTGGGAGCTAGACTCCTGCTGTGGTTAGTTGGTTGCAGACAAAAAGATAAAAGTAGCTGATGAAAATTGTTTCAAAGGAAGTGGACTATCTTTGTGTGTGTGTGAGAGAGAGGAAGGGAAAGAGTATGTCTATGTGTTTGTGTGAGAGAGAGAGTGTGTATGTTTGCGTATTAGAGAAGTTTCTGTTTAAATTCTTTTCAATTGAAAATTCTTTTTTTAAAGAATACACTGGAAGAAGAAAAGTCACATTTTTCAATTAATTTACAATATAATCAAAGAAAGACTAACAAGTTTGTTCAAAAGTGCACCATTGTAATCACATGCTGTAGTGCCTGCTAGTTACTTAGTTTATGAAATTTCAATAAAAATTAAACTCTTCAGAAAAGTAAGAATACTTAAGTGTAGATGCTAACATTTGTTTACTTTGAATTTTTTAATTTAAAATTCATTTAAAATATGCAACCCATAAATTTTTATTTTACCTGAATTGACAGTTATATCTAAATATTGCTTGTCCCCAGGCCACCACACCCACCAAATCGTTCAAGTTGTGCCCTGATACTTCTTTATATCAATACTTGCAATGTAAAAACTAGAAAAAGAAAGGTCCATTGATAAGGCATAACACAGTACTAAAATCTCAGGTGTAGGTTTATGTCATTATGCTAATTTTGAAGCCACTTTCTTCTGTGACCAGAAGAGTTTTCAAATGTTAATTGATTGATCTTTATTTGGCATTTGAACAGAGGAGAGACAATGTTGACTAAGTAACCATGCTCTGCATCTTTGTCTTTTATTCGCTAGGAGGAATCTTTATCTGTTCCCTGCCTTCATATCTTGAGGGACCTCAGGCCAGTCTGCTATATCTTAATTTGATCTTATTTTCCAGGTCATCAATTCAGTTTTTCTGTGCTTCACAGGCTTGGTATTCTCACTAATAATGGCGTCTGTCCATTGTTATCTAGATGTCCTCATTTTCCTTGTAGTCTGTTATAGTTTAGAACAAAGCTTTCTGATTTTATTCATAGCAGTATCTGTGGCTTTTAACTAATATTTGCTCATTTTTATTAAGTAAATTTAAAACAGCTTGTTTGAGAAGTCAAATGTAGCTAGTTTATATCGAATATGGTACCATTCAGAACAAAGTATTTAAAAACAACTTAAACAAAAACAAAATGGTATGTGAAGAGTATTCAGGAATTGATTTTCCCAATACTGTGATATTAGTCATCTGGGTAGGGCTGCCGGATTTAGCAAATAAAAATAGAGATCACTGCTTAAATTTGAATTTCAGATAAACAAAAACTAATTTTTTAAAATAAGTATGTCTCCTGTAAGAGTAAATACCATGCATTTTAACTGGGCATCGTATATTTCATCTGGGAACCCTAAAAACTGGGGCAAAACACAGTAGCTTTTAACCTTTGTGGAACCGTAAAATTATAAGAGAACTAAAGCCTACATATAGTTGAGCATATTGAATTGAATACATTTTCTTTACAGGGCACTGAGTCTTGTAGTAGTTGCCCTACTTAAATCCTTCAGTAAAACACAAACAAAAAGCTAACAAGTTAAGAGTTCTTCTACTCCTGAAATATTGTTGTGCCTTATTCCCCCTCCAATGTCATTCGCCCCCCCCCCCCCCCCCACGCTTCTGACATTTCCTTGATTCTCCTAGGGGCAGTGGTACCGTGGTGTTGCAAAACTGGACTCAGGGTTAGAGCCAGGCCACTCTTTCTGTCTCATTTACCTCATCCCATCTCCAACTCTCCTTGAGTTTCAGGGGCTGTAGACATTCCCCTAGTAGCAAAAGCAGAGGTGTCATCCTGACTGATGCTCAGGGCTAGAATGCTGTATCTTGTTTAAAGAATCAAAAGTGAGCCACTACTCCTTTCCTCTTCCTGTGGCTCTCAAATTTGCTACATTTGTAACAGGTACTCTGGTTGCTGCTATCCCATTATGTTTCAGGGCTGCATCATTTACCATTATGATCTTGAACACAGTATCACAGCAATAGTCAGCAAGAAATACTAACTTGGAAGAGTGCTGCTTTCTGTGGCTACTAAGATAATTGTAGCATTACACTGTCTTGATAAAGCATTTTATCCTATGCTGAGTTCAAGGTAGATTTAAACAAAAATGTGTGCTTTCTGTTTATCATGATAAATCTGTGTAAAGGCTTCTTTGATGGTTCTTTCCTGTATGTCAGGAAGCTGGCATTATGAACTAAGCTGTGATGATGAACCGAACACAATGGGTCTGTCTCTTGGTGAGTGCGGAGCTGAAAAGCACAACCAATGCTGAAGTGAGTGAAGAAGAATGGTTTATCACAAGCAATGAAGAACCCCTAGCTCCTGAAGCAGTGCCCCACTGCTTGCCTGCCCATGTGCCCCACTCCCCGCCAGCTTACTGCAAGTAAAAGGTTTATATACCAGAGTGCAGAGGACATGTTACAACTGTGTAACAACTGGGCCTGATTAGGGCACATGACAGGTGGGCCATTACATAACAAGTTCAATGCATCATTACATAGCAGGTTCAATGCAACATGCCATTTAGAGCTGGGGCAGTTTGCAGGGATCCTGCTGCAACTGTGTAAGTTTCTCTGTAGGATGGCAACATCTACAAAAACCAGGACATCATCTTCTGAAAAATAGCACGTTTAGTTTCCTCCTTGTCTGGAAAACATTTGACAGACTATGTTTAGTTATGGATCAGATTTTCATTAACCCTTTCCTTGCGTGGTTTCTGGTCACAATGACTTTCTCCAAAGTTACCTCCAAGTAACCCCTGGCAAAGCAGGGTTTTGAACAATGAGACCATCTATTTCCTTTGAGTGAAAATGTTGTGAATTGTGACAGTAGTCCCGTCAGATAACATTCTGCCTTCTGATGGTTTTTATAGCCCCCCTCCCCTGGAGCCAGATCAGAGCATTTCACGGGGCAGATGTGAGCGCCCAAGAAAGGAAAATTTGCCCCAACCTAGTTTTCATTTGTGGTTCAGTGTGGGGCATGGCCCACCCTCCACTTGAGTAGCAACACAAACTCTTTCTTTATTGTTCACCATTTTTTCCTTTCATGGAGTCATTTATTCAATGAGTATTTGTTCGGCCTCTGATACAGATGTATAGGGTACTGGATGTGTTACTCTAAGCCACCATCTCTAGTGGCCAGGAGCTTAGTGGAGGTAAATATGTCTTACCCCAAGGCAATAAGTAATACGCTTTATATAAGTCTTTACAACTTGGTATTATAAGAGCATAAAGGAAGAACGTATTATTTTCACTTGGGATCATTAGGAAAGCATCACGGAAGAAATCTGATATGAGCCTTTATAAATGGGCAAGATTTCAAAGGGGAAGATGTGGGAAATAAGGGTCATCATCCAAAGCAGAGGAAATTGCGCAAAAGCAACGAAGCTTGAACGAACACTGCAACTTTGGGGAATGGAATGTGATTTAGATGAAATGAAATAGGGATTTTTTTTTTTTTCTATTTGAGGATAGCAGGTGGGACCATGTAGTAGATGGATTTGAATGTTACATGAGAGCAAAACTGTGCTTTAGGTAAATTAGCTTAAAGTACTGTGCAGGCTGATTGAAGGAAAGGGAAACTCCTCTGTGATGATTTAGAGGCTACTGAAATGGTCTAAACATAAAGAGGTAATATCCTGAACTATAGTGATGGTGCCAGAAGAGGACCCATGTCCCAGCTGACCCAGACAAGGCTTGGTTTGTCTAAAGAATAATATTCGTTATTTTCGTATTGTGAACTACTTACCAATTATACCTAATTAACCGTTCTGTATATTTAACTTGGTATTAACCGCTTAAAGCTTTGGAAAAATGAGAGTGCATTTATTTGTAGAACCAAGCCTAAATAAAAAAGCAGTACCAGACACATGCCTGGAAAGAAACCTCTTTTTAGGCTCCATAGCCACTGAATCAAGTCAAAGTACCTTCCAAAAATGGCAGCCTAATAAATGAGAAATAAGTGGGGTTACTTTTACAGTTTCTTAATGTTTACAGCACTTGCATTTTCTTCCCCTTAATTAGAAATTCAGACTTTAAAAGTCCTCTGTTAGCAACTTGGGTCTATTAGGAAAGAATTACACGAACATCTGTAGCCCATGTAGCATTTAAATACCAGGTAAATACGTATGTATATTGATTAAAGGCGACAGGGTGGTGTTTCAAAATTGAGAAAGACTACAACCATAGGCTGTTTCTGTATTTTTCTCACGCCAGTATTAAAGAACCTAAATAACTAACAGTTCATAAGATATAAAAAAAATCCTCATTTCTTGAGTGTCTTATAGTCTTACAGAGTAGATAGAAAACATTGATCTCTCTTAATGTATAACTTCTAAAGTTATAGAAGTCCTTATATCAAGAAAGAGGAGGATCTGTGTCTTCCTTTGATTTAATATGATATTCAGACCAGAAAGAACCGGAGCCTAGGTGCCGTAATCCAGAGATACGATGACTGGGACAGAATTTCCTGATTCTTACCTGACCGTCATCTCAGTCTACTACTTCACGCTATTTTACTGAGAAAGAGTTAACATGCCAACTATGAAGGATACTTCAGATTTCTAAAACATCATATTTAATGTAATTAGCTTCTAGCAGGGTTTTGAACACATTAATTATGTGGTTTATCTCGTCACTTTTAAAGTAAAAAGAATGATTTTAAAATAATGTGGCATTTGAATTTTTTCATCTTTTCATCCTTATTTTTATTGCTTTTCATATAAAATGAGATAAAACTCAGTGAGAAAATCCCAAATAGCTTTTTGTAATGATGTTTTTTGGCAATTCCTAGCAGTAGAATATCTAATTTCTATTTTAAGATGGAGATCCATTTTGTTTTTTCTGTAGTTTATATAATATCTGCAGTTATTTTCATGTGTCATCCTTGGTACTAGAAGTAAAGACATTTTGGTATGCATTTTGCTGTGAAATTTTGGTTTGGAAGCCTATGAGTCCTAGTAATCATCTTTGATTTTGGCATAAATTATTTCCTTTTGCTACTGCTCTTGACTAAATGAAGTTAGAAGGGAATTTGAAACTCAAGGCAAGAATTATGAAACTTTAGTCTCTCCATCCTAGGGACTATATGCTTCTCTTATTCTCATTTACTCAGCACTCATTCACTAAGCAGCTGCTAAAGTCTCAGTCACCAGGGAAACAAAGACAAATAAGAACTGATCGTGGGCCATCTAGAGGTGGCAATCAAGTGGGGATATTCAGACATGGATACCAGTTAATTAAAATAGCAGAGTGGAAGACCAAAGGACCAAATGATTAAGGGAGGAAACAGGAGAAGACTTCCAGAATAATTCTTTGTGTATCAACTCAGAGATGAGAGTGGAAGTTCTCATTGAGACTGAGAATATGGAAGGGCACGTCATTATATGGGAAATTCTGAACTGAGTTTTTGACTTGTTAAGTTTTAAATGTGGAATGATAGATCTGTTTGATAGTAGTTCTCAAATAAAAATATGTGGACTTTCCTTGTAACTGCGTAGGTATTTGTTAAAAAATATAGGTTGCCTGGAAGTATTATAGAGATATTGGTAGATTAAATCTAGGTGAGATCTGGGAATATGGGTTCTGAAATAGCTTCTCAGATGATTCTGATAATCAGTAAGGTTTGAAATCTACTTCAGTAAAGGTCCAGGAAGGAGAAGACAGATGGTAGTTGAAGTCACAGGAATGGATGTGATTTCCCAGGGAGAGCAAGGAGAGTGAGCAAAGAACAAGGCTACGGATGTAACACCATCAGATAAGGAGTAGGCAGAGGAGGAATCGGCAAAGAAGCTAAAAAGGAATATACTGTGTTAAGGAGCAGGAATATATGCTTACTTAAATCTAAGTCTTAGATTAGTAATCACATTTCTGATTCTATATAGAGAAAAAAAGTGTAGAAGAAAACCTTTAGGTTTCTACTCATGATTTGGCTTTATTCCAAAAGGGATTCATCAATTTTCAAATGTGCTCTACTACAAAAAGATTTCTTCTACTTCCAGAGAAATCTGTTGGAGAAAAAGAAATTGGCCCACTTGAACAGAGAAAAATAGACAAAGTAGAGTATCAGAAAAGAAAGTTGTAATATTAACCATAATTTGTAAGACAAAAAAAATGCCCTATTGTACGCTTACTAGATGGAGTTAGAATATTTAATTAATCAAAATCTTTATAATTGAAAACTAAAGCTATTATAGTGTCTCAGGAAAAAACCCTTCTGTTCTTAGCCCTTCCTACTTATTTTGTTATGTGGTGATGAGTGCACCTTCTAAATATAGGTAAGTAAAAACTTACGTTAATAGAAACGTGTGCTGTTAGAAAAGAGGAACTAAATGGCAGTTATATAACCTGACTTGATGTAAAAACTAATTACCTTTTTCAAAATTCATATCCCAGAATAACTTTATTGATCCTGTAGGATTTTAAAAATATACACATTATCGACATTTATTTAGGGATGCAGTTATTGTTCACTTATACTCACTCTCCTTTGAAGTTCCAGGTGACCCTTTATGCAAATAAATTATAGAATCATTTCAGTAGTTGTGTCATCTGCTTTTAACTTACTTTTAATCACTTCACTAATCACATATAGATTTTTGAGGTGCTCAGTGAACAGGTGGTCAAATGGTCAATAGTGGTCTAATATTTTTAACCTTTCAAGTTCTACGTAAAAGGTGATTTTTTTAAAAGTCATGTGAATTAACAAAGTCTTGGGGGACTTTTTTTGTGAATAATATTTTGTCAAAGATAGAGGAAAAGGTAGGCAATAATATCTTTGAATAGAGAAGATTTACTGGTGAGAATACCACAAGGAAATTTTCAAATTTGTTGATGGCTAACTTGTTAGAACATTACATTCCTGGCATCAGTGTGTGATAGTACATGTGGAGTATTGCCAGTTAGGGAAGTTCACTTGAGTCTTATTGTCCAGAGTTTTTGTAGGGGCTCCTTCATGTACTGCACATGTGACTGACCTTTAGTCTCCAGCCTCTCCATGGATAGAACTAATACTGCATGGCCCAAAGCCTGATCATAAATCACATTGTTAGACTGCTGGTTGGCCAAGGCCCACATGCAAACAGTGACTCCTATCAAGGATGGCATTCCAGAAGCCTAGAGGTCACTTCTGTAGGGGAGAGGAAGACTTTTCCTCTACCTAATGTGGGTTCGTCTGGCCGGAGACCGAATTAAATTCACATGAGACAGAATAGCAAGAGAAAATTAAACAAAGCTTTATGAGGAACCATGGCCCAGGGCCTCTCTTCCCGAAGGAAGAAAGGGCACCAGAGAAGTGGGGTGCACAGAGTGGTTATATACCCCCAAACAGGATATTTCACGTATGATTGAAATGTCCCTCCCACAATAGTCACAAGATTGCCCTGTTGGCACAGCGCTTGATGGACACAGCAGATAGTGGGTCTGCTATCTCGGTGGGCGTAGCAGGAAGCAAGTCTATTGTCTTGAGCTGGGTGGTCACAGATGAGCGCAGCAATCAGTTCCTAGCCTAAGGAAAGATGCTTAATCCTTAAAGAAATGCTAACTTTGGGAGGGGGAGGGAAGTCAGTTACAGGAGGTTACCATATAAGCACAATAAAATGCAAATTTAAGTCCTTGCCTTCCCCATTGATTAAGAGTTTCTAGAGATATCTTTACAGATGGAGAGTTCCTTTACAATGTAAATGTCTCTTACAAAGGGTAAGTTCTACTTTTCAGTTTCTTTCCTGTCTGCAAAGTAAGCAGCCTCAAATAATCATCATGCCAAAGAGACATATCTTGGGGTGGCCATTTCCAGGTCCCCACACTTCCTAGTAGCCAATGGCAAAGGCCAGCACTCTTTTGGGGTACGGTTAATTCTTTACTGCGCACCAATTGTTTCAGATAGTAAAACTGGATGAGGCCAAACTGAAACAAGAATTGACAAAACTGTGACTACGAAGTCCATGGTAGGTGAAATGGCTCCTTGTTGTCCACAAAATTAAAGTGTCTTCATTCACGGTTACCTTCCATATTCTAGATTCCAGCAAAC